GGAGAGCTCTGCATCGTTGCCACTGCTGCTGAGCTCACCTCGATGTCCAAACAGGAACTGAGATTCAAACTGCCCAGACAGGAAAATGAATTCAAATTTTCCCAGGGTGTGGCTGGTCAGAGCATCCGAGCTCGGACTGCTGTCCAGAGCATCAACAGAGTGGTGCACTGTGGGATAGCTCCCGGAGCTATTACCGTCGATTTCCATCCACACCTAGCCTAATTCGATATGGTCATTTCGAATTTAGCGCTACTCCTCTCGTTGGGGAGGATTACAGAAATTGATTTAAAGAGAGCTCTATGTCGAACTAAATGGCTTCCTGGTGTGGACGGGTGCAGGGTTAATTCGATATAACGGCGCTAAATTCGACATAAAACCCTAGTGTAGACCAGGCCTTAGTAAGCAAACCTCTACACTATAAGGGACAGCTCAGCATTTACTCTTTCTTTGGCCCAATTAATTGCTAATTAAAGTGGAACGGCTTCAAGAGGAAAGTCTGAGGGAGCCCCACCCCAGGACCCCACCTAGCCCAGCACTTAGGAGATGGCTGTTGACATCCCACCAGGCAGGCAGAGGGGGAATTGAACCCCATCTCCCACCTCCTGAGCAACAACCCAAACCACTGGGCTATAGAGCATTCCTGAGACTAGCTAGCCGTGGCCCAACTGCTGTGCAATTATTTCATTAAAGTGGCCCAGCATCAACAAGAGAAGAAGAGCAACCCACACCACAAGATCCCTTCGTTCAGCACTCAGGGCATGCACTTGCGAGACAGCAGATCCCTATTCACATCCCTTCTCAGTCGGCAGACTGGGGAATCAAAGCAGACTCACCCCCACCCCAGGTGAGTGCCCTAACCAGTGGGTAAAAGTCAGGAGGGAGTGGCACCTCCGCTGAGGACACGCATCTAAGAAGTGACAGATCGCCGTTCAAATCCCAGCTCCTCCTGAGGCCATGAGAGGAAACTGACCCAGGCTCTGCCAGATCCCAGGTGAGTACCCTAACCATTAAGCTAAACATTATAAAGGAGGCCCTGGCCTCCACAACCGCCTTGTGTGGTATTAGGCGCCTACCCAATTGAGCCCCCAAGGGAAGATAAGCAGCACAATGGCTTGAGAATCATGCTGGGGCTTAGGCATGAGGATCATAGGGTAAGAGGAAAGGTCCTCTCACGGATCAGTAACTGGCTAAAAGATAGGAAACAAAGAGTAGGAATAAATGGTCAGCTCTCAGAATGGAGAGAGGTAAATAGTGGCATCCCCCAGGGGTCTGTACTGGGACCAGTACTGTTCAGCATATTCATAAATGATCTGGAAAAAGGGGTAAACTGTGAGGTGGCAAAATTTGCAGATGATACAAAATTACTCAAGATAGTTGAGTCCAAAACAGACTACAAACAGATCTCACAAAACTGTGTGACTGGGCAACAAAATCACAGATGAAATTCAATCTTGATAAATGCAAAGTAATGCACATTGGAAAACATAATCCCAACTATACATATAAAATGAGGGGGTCTAAATTAGCTGTTACCACTCAAGAAAGATCTTGGTGTCATTGCAGATCGTTCTCTGAAAACATCCAATGTGCGGCGGCAGTCAAAAAAGCGAAAAGAACGTTGGGAACCATTAAGAAAGGGAGAGATAAGAAGACAGAAAATATCATATTGCCACTATACAAATCCATGGTATGCCCACATATTGAATACTACGTGCAGATGTGGTCACCCCATCTCAAAAAAGATATTGAAATTGGAAAAGGTTCAGAAAAGGGCAACAAAAATGATCTGGGGTATGGAACAGCTTCCATATGAAGAGAGATTAAAAAGACTGGGACTTTTCAGCTTGGAAAAGAGACCACTAAAGGGAGATATGATAGAGGTCTATAAAATCATGACAGGTGTGGAGAAAGTAAATTAGGAAGTGTTATTTACCCCTTTACATAACACGAACTAGGGGGTCACCAAATGAAATTAATAGGCAGCAGGTTTAAAAACAAACAAAAGGAAGTATTTCTTCACACAATGCACAGTCAACCTGTGGGACTCTTTGCCAGAGGATGTTGTGAAGGTCAAGACTATAACAGGGTTCAAAAAAGAACTAGATACGTTCATGGAGAATAGGTTCATCAATGGCTATTAGCCAGGATGGCGTCCCTAGCCTCTATTTGCCAGAAGCTGGGAATGGGCGACAGGGGATGGATCACTTGATGATTACCTGTTCTGTTCATTCCCTCTGGGGCACCTGGCATTGGCCACTGTCAGAAATCAGAAGTGTGAGTTAGATGGACCTTTGGTCTGACCCAATATGTCCATTCTTATGTTCACGTGCACAGAGGAAGAAACGCAGGTGGCTTGGGAATTTTTAGAGCAAAAACGTAGGCACCTACAGGATTGGGAAGAAGCTGTGCAGGGGTTTTGTGAATTGCGGTGGTGGGATTTAGGCACCCAAGTCCCTTTATAGATCTAGCTATGTGTGCCCAGGGTGTGGAGTGAGCGTACCCATTCTTAGCTCCCCGAATTCCACTTTGAGTGCCTCTAGCACGAACTGAGCACACTCCCCAGCTCAGCACTGCATGCCTGCTGCATCGGCGCTATCTGTCGCTCCAACTGCTGGAGTTCTCAGAGTAGTTTGACCCATTGTAAAAACAGATCAGGGGAAGCGCAGGCTCCAGTCACCAAGGGACCCCAGAATTGTAGCCCAGGTGCTACTCCTGGTCTTCATCTGGCAGCGCAGTTCTCAAGCCAATCTGGCTCTGCGTTTGCACATTAGAGCACTTTACAGTTAAACACAGCTCATTTGCTGGGAGAGGAAGGGAGCTGGATAGTCCCTTAAATTTGCACCACAAATGGTACCCAAGGCCTTCTACTAGCATACAAATTTCCAACCCAATCTGACTCTATGAACTTTAGCACACTTTGAAAGTTTACCCTTAAACAGCAATGCTGCTGCAGCCTGTGTGCGTCTCTGGCACCTGTTGGCGATGCCGGTCTTGCTCACAGGAGCACCACTTTGTACAACCAAAGTGAAAATCTACTAATGTTTGGATTATTGGGGTTGAAGCTATGGGTTGGCCAGCTCCGGGGAAGGCTAGTCAGATATGTTCATTGTGCACACTGCTAATTTCCCCCTAGCTTTGTGCAAACGTGATTTCTTTCCATCCCAAGAACAAGCATGAAATATCAGCTGCAGTGTTTCAATAACCTACCTGCATGCTGTCATTTATCTGCCTGCTCCCATTACCTACACTGGGCAGAAACACTCAGATCTGATCACACCTCAGAGATGATACAACAGTCTAGAAGGGAACCACATCTCTGCCTGTTGGTGATTTATACATTAGGACCACCACTTTGAAAAAACTGCAGTTGGGTTGATCTGCAGTTACCTACCTTCAAATCTTACTAGTGCTACTGAGCAAAGGTTACTTGATTCAGCTACTGCTTAGTTCTTCATTAACTCTCTAGTTACATCAGGTCTGCCCATGCCCTGAATTCAGTCAGCAGCCTACGTCTCTCTGGTATTTTTATTTTACGGTGGTAAGAAGCAAGCATCTCTGCATAATGTGGGCTATGAGTTGTTTGCTAAGAACAAAACCAGCGAGACACTGCCAACAACAATGTGCAAATTATCAGTCAGGCTCATGCAACAGTACAGTATCTTCATGTGTCCCGTCAACAATGGATGACTGATCACTAGCCCAGGATACCTGGTTCCTAAAATGATGGTGCTGCCACCTGCACCAGAAGCCATCCTTACTTTTGGGCAGTGTACCTGTGAGAGTACCTGTGCAACAAGGACGTGCAAAGGCCACAGGGAAGATTTCATGTGCTCCAATGCATGCAACTGTGACAGTGACGAGTGTAGCAACAGAGTACTGAACACACCCGACACAGATTCTGAGGGGAAATAAACATGTTTCAATTACCTGCAAATTACTGTGACTATTTTTGTGAGTAAATATAGCATGAAGGGGTGTTACATTAGACATTCAGTAGCTAATAGTCAGATGTATGGGTTACATAGGAGTACACGGTTATACTTTGTTACTCACACAATATATTCATACAAGACATTCTACAGCCCTTCCATTAAGAGTCATTACTGTTATATAAGAAGTTTACACATATTGTCATTGTATTCAGTGCTAGTAAGAAGATCATTACAATTGTACCATGTGTGTTTTAGACTTTCATCTCTGGCCAGGCAGATAACATCAAAAATATGTTTTATAATTAGGGAGTAGGGGGTCTTGTCTGCATAATTTCATAAAAACAGCAGAAAGAAAAAGCGTTTATTAAATCAGACCATTCTCCAAATAATGACAAGCTCATATTGTCATATGACTAGACTTTTGCTTTCACGAAAGGCAAAAAAAGTATGGGAAACATGCACACAATATATCATCTGGGGCTAAATATTTACCAAACCTTCCAAAGCAGTACTATTTTGAGTACATAGTTGCATTCTCGATTGTATTTAGAAGCTGTCTGCCAATTTCAGGCAAAATTAAACTATGTTTCCATGAGTTAAGGCCCTTTTTGTGATTTTATGATAACATATGGATGCCCAGTAATGTTAAAACATTACATGACACAGAGACACTGCACCACTTCCAGCATCTACATCCACCCTGGCGATGACCACCAGATATGTGCCTAACGTGTGGTAGCAAAGACATTTTCCTAGCTGATGGGTTTGCCCAAAATGGGTTTGGGCTGGTACACTACAAATACAAAATACATTTTTAAAACCACTCCATGGACGGAACTAAATTCTTTACACGACAATTCTCAAAAACCCTCTCAGCCACCAACACTGCAACTCAATCATAGTCTCCTACCCATCCCCACTGGCTCTCCACCCCCAGGAAATGCCTAGGACAGTCTGTCTTAAAGGTCACCCAACTCCCTTGGGATTTAGACTTCTAGAAACATCCGCAATGTTTTCCAATAGCTTATTGATGACCCCTCAAATCCCTACAAGAGCTGAGATGCTTACTTTGATCCTTCCTGCTTCTCTGAAAGCCAAGCTGAGAATCCTTGTTCAGCCCCATGCCCCAAACTTTGGTAATGTCAGTGGTTTTTGAGGATATTAGCGTGAAGCCATAGCCACATGCTGCAGAGGATATCTTTAAGAAAAAAGCAAAACATTGAGTTATAAATCTGCTTTGGAAAATTAAAGCTTATTTGATTTTATAAACTCAGAATCATGTTTATTTAGACCACTGCCCCCAATTCATGGCAAAGGAGTCTTCTGGGTACAGCCCTTACCAGAGGGACATCAATAGTCCTTAACCTGTTGGGGTTTAAGAATAAAACTCAAACAGCTGCTAGACAAGCTTCTAAACACTTGTTCATTTTAGCAACTAGTCCAAAAGTACTGTTTGTTTTTAAAGACACAGCCTGATCTAAACTTAAAACTTAGATCAACCTAGTTATGTCGCACAGGGCTGTGAAAAATTTCACACCCTGATTACTGTAGTTAGGGTGACCTAACTCCCAGTGTAGACACAGCTAGATCAACAGAAGAATTCTTCCATCATTTTAGGGCTAGTCTACACTAGCAGCGCTTTAACGTGCCTTGTGTGGTCGCGGCGCAGCACTCTAAAAAAACCACCTTCACGAGAGGCGCAGCTCCCAGCGCTGATGCCTTGTCTACACTGGCGCGGAAACTTGCTGCGCTCAGGGGGGTGTTTTTTCACACCCCGAGCGAGAAAGTTGCAGCGCTGTAAATTGCCAGTGTAGACAAGCCCTTTGTTCCCAACTCTCGGAGAGATGGGTTAACTACATTGATGGGGAAAAAACCCTTCTGTCAACATGGGAAGCATCTACACTACAGTTCTACTGTGACACAGCTGCACCACCATAGCTCTGCCACTGTGGCAGCTGTAGTCTAGACATGACCTAAGCAGTACGTATAAGTTTTGCTAAGTCGTTATCACGTCTGTGGATGTACGAGACAACCCCAAAGTAGTCCAGACTGAAGAGAGACTATGCACTGCTGACCCGATTCTTCTTGCTTCTTTTCTGAATAAAATTGAGGATGGAAATTAATTCTAAACTGTTCTTTTTTTTAATGCTTCAGTAATAGCACTGTATGGACACAGTACTCAGGTGCAAGTTTAGCACTCTAGGAAGTAATGACTAGTGCAGGGGTAGGCAACATGCGGCACGTGAGCTGATTTTCAGTGGCACTCGCACTGCCCGGGTCCTGGCCACCGGTCCGGGGGGCTCTGCATTTTAATTTAGTTTTAAATGAAGCTTCTTAAACATTTTAAAAACCTTGTTTACTTTATATACAACAATAGTTTAGTTATATATTATAGACTTATAGAAAGAGACCTTCTAAAAACGTTAAAATGTATGACTGGCACGCGAAACCTTAAATGAGAGTGAATAAATGAAGACTCGGCACATCACTTCTGAAGGATTGTCGACCCCTGGACTAGTGCCAGACTCTGGACATCCCTGCCGAGATTTAAGACCAAAAAGCTGTTCATCTCGGTAAGACTAGAGCTCTATCAATACACCTAAATTCACAAATGCAGCAACCCCTGCAGTCCAGTCCTGGAACACTTGGTGGAGCATCAGTCATGCAAAACTGTGCAGTGGTTTTGTGAAATAAAAGAATGAGAAGCAGGACACAGAACATCAAAACTCTTCCACTTAAGCACAATTTGAATAGCAGAAATGAACAGGATTTTGTTTTCTAAACTAGTAAGTAGTTGGATTTAAAAATAAAAATAAAGACTAAAAAAACATTTACATAAATTTCAGCCCTCCTCAGGCAGAGTGCAAGTCACCAAGCATTAGGCTAAAGGAGATGAATGAATTTAAACAACTTCGTTAAGATGGGTTTCTAATTTCTTCAAAGTGCAAAGGTACAAAAGAGCAACTGACTATGGGGATACTTTTCGTCGGGGGGGGGGGGGGGGGTTAAAGGAAACCATGAGCTCTCTGTTATGGCTCTGGCAATATACTATATACCATGCTAAAGCTCTCTAGATAGCGTACAAGCTCCATGGGGCAAGTACCATCCTGTGTGTTTGCACAGGTCCAAGAACAACGGAATCTCATTCCTGATGGGAGCCTCTAAGTACTATCACAGTGCAAATAATAAACAATGATAGTTATTATGACACAGACTCTCCTTAGGCACATTGACTCAGCTACATTGACAGCAATGGAATTAACATAAAACTGTTAAATTAACCCCCAAAAGCTTCATATTTAGGACAGACACTGCCAAGTCTGATTCACTGAGATGCTAAAATCAGTGGATGTATTGTATTTTAAGGAAGTTTTTAAAATCACCTTCTTATCATGAATATGTTGTGCTGCATTTTTCAACATGACATTTAAAATCTCAGACCTTGTTATCGCTTTCATTCAAACTGGCTGAGAGTCCTGTTACACTGAGCTAGCATTGACAGTCCTTTGACCTTTGTGATTATGTCTCATTAAAACACAGAAAAAAATCCTCATCATCAGAGAAAAGGTTTTAATACTTCTTTAAAATGAATCCCCCTGGAAAAAAAAATCAGAGGCAGGCCTAAACAAAATGATTAGACCAAAGCCTGGGAAAGTTCAGGTGCTAATTTTGCAGCTGGTCCCTCTCACTATAATGAGCTGAACCAAACAATCAAGCCAAAACACCTGTGATCATAGGGAAAGTTAGGCTCTGAACATGTTGACTTGGCCACACCTCCAGCCCAAAGTGTCCTTCCAATAATACTTAACGGGTCTCCCAGCTCTTTTCACTCACCTTCTCAGCTGTGTCCAGGCGGTAGGGTGTGGGTTGTATCCTCCGGCGCTTTTTCCAGCTTGCATCAGGCTTAATGAAGCTGGGGATCCCCAGGGCCCCAGCATGACAGAAACCCCAGACAAACACCCTGTCCTTCCTCTTGGACCTCTCCCCCACATACTGAAAAACTGGGGCAGCGTCCTCAGCTTCTTTCACTTCTCTGCTGCTCCTGGTCTTGGCTACCTTGGCAAAGCCTCTGGAGAGACCTTGCACCTGCAGCCCCCTCTGACCTACCTGGGACCCCCCTA